CCTTGAAATCATACTGTGTTACTGGCCTTGACTGTTTTTATGTGGTAACGAATTCCACAAGCTCACCAATCTCCAGGTGAAGAAATTCTCCTCATCTCAGCCCTGATTGGTTTACCCTATATCTTTACACTGACCCGATTCTGGATTTCCCCCACCGTCGGGCACAGCCTTCCTGCATCTTCTGCATCTAGTCCTGCTAGAAATTTATAGATTTCCCTGAGATCCTCCACCCCCATCCTGGCAGTCCTTCTGAACTCCAGTAAATATAGACCTAACCAATTCATGCTTTAGACTGTCCGTGTGGAGTTTGCATTTCTCCTGCGTCTGTGTGGTTTCCTCCCATGGTCCAAAGACTGGGGAGTGTTGCTGAACAAAGACTGCAGGTTCATAGTTCCTTGAAAGGGGAATCGCAGGTAGATAGGATAGTGAAGAACGTGTTTGGTATGCTTGCCTTTATTGGTCAGTGTATTCTGTATAGCAACTGAAAGAACTGCGGATACTGTAAATCAGGAGCAAAAACAAAGTTTCTGGAAAAGCTCAGCAGGTCTGGCAGCATCTGCGAAGGAGAAAACAGTTAACATTTCGGATCCGGTGACCCTTCCTCAGAAGGGACTGTTCTGAGGAAGGGTCACTGGACCCGAAACATTAACTCTGTTTTCTCCTTCACAGATGCTGCCAGACCTGCTGAGCTTTTCCAGAGACTTTGTTTTTATTCCGTATAGGAGTTGGGAGGACATTTACAGGATATTGGTTAAGCAACTCTTCGAATACTGTATTCACTTCTGTTCTCCCTGCTATAGGAAGGATGTTGTGAAACTTGAAAGGGTTCAGAAAAGGTTTAAGAGGATGTTGCCAGGGTTGGAGGGTTTGATCTACAGGGAGAGGCTGAATAGGCTGGGGCCATTTTCCATGGAGCGTCAAAGGCTTGAGGGGTGACTTTAGAGGTTTATAAAATCATGATGGGCATGGATAGGGTAAATAGACAAGGTCTTTTCCTGGGGTGACAGAGTCAAAAACTACAGGGCATAGCTTTAAGGAGAGAGGGGAAAGATTTAAAAAGGACCTGAGGGGCAATTATTTCATGCAGAGGGTAGTGCATGTATGAATGAGCTGCTAGAGGAAGTGTTGGAGGCTGGTATGATTACAATATTTAAAAGGCATCTGGATGGATATATGAAAAGGAAGGGTTTAGAGGGATATGGGCAAAATGCTGGACTAGATTAATTTAGGATACCTGGTCGGCATGGACGTGTTGGACCAAAGGGTCTGCTTTCATGCTGTACAGCTCTGACTCGATGTGCAGGGTAGGTGGATTAGCCATGGGAAATGCAGGTTTACAGGGACAGGGTAGGGGGGGTAGGTCTAGGTGGGGTGCTGTTCGGAGGGTTGGTCTGACTCGAGGGCTGAATGGCCTCCTTCCCCATTGTAGAGATTCTATGAAGTGCCATGTGTTCCCCTTCAAATGCTTTGATTTTCAGAAAAGATGCAATTGAATTAATTAAGTACAGTGTGTCATATACTCCTCCATGCGGACAAACCCATCTCTTGTTGATTATTTTGTAGAAATTTGTGCACAAGTGAGGTAAGATTTATTACTGAATAATTTCTCGTTACTATAATTCCTTTCCTTGGCAGAACTGTAAAATTGTTCACTGTTCACACCCTTAGATGACAGTTTACATTTCCAAGTAGATATGGAAGTTTATGGTAAATACTGCTGCTGTTTCCTTGCCAGTATAGCCCTTCAGTATTCTGATGTTCATTTGAGAGTTGGGACATTTAATGACATTCAGGGTTTTTTTTCTCTCTCTTTGACTTCTTTTACTCTTCTATCTCTAGTAATGGATTTTTCACATCCTCTTTGGTAGCTCTGAGTCCTACTTTCACCAGCTGTCTAATAATAGAATGAACTATTATTTATCATTCCTTCACTTTCAAGTGTGAGATGCTTCTTTTAAATAAGTGGTCCCACGTATCCTCAGATTCTGTTCACTACTTAGATTTTTTCTAGAATTCCTTGTGAATTCCCCTCACTGCTACTCTATTGATCTTTTTAACCTCTGTTTTTACTTTCTTTCAATACTTTTCTTGCTTATTCTCTGTAGTGTGCTTCTACTTTTTTAAATGTAATCTTGGCTGTAATTGTTTCATTAATGGAACTCTAGCATTTTTATATCTCCTTCACTTTTAGTTGCAAGATAGTTAATATATATTTTTATTCATTATATATTTCAATATTTCCCAATCCAGACCAACTGTGGTCTTCTATTTTTATGAACAATTAATGTGGGCTCAGTCCCCTTTCATTCGATTGAAATTAGCTGATGTTGATGGCTGATGTCCAAAGCATTTTGTTGGAAGTCCATTAATAAACTGTTAGTACTTCAAACCTCATCTCTGATTTTTTTCTGGTATCTCTGACCATGTCCTGTGTCAATCACAGGTGCAAAATGCAAAGTGACAGTAATTATGTAAATCTAACTGGTTCTGAGCCCTCAACTAACATCCAAATGTGACTTTTTCAAGTATGTAATTTGGGTCAATATTCCATTATGTTGTAAGTATGATTCCGTGTTTGCAATATGTCCAAATGGATATTTTTGCTTCACTAGTCATTTGTATGTTGTGCAGATAGTCGTCATTTTTGTACAAACCTTATAAGGGATGGTGTTCTACTATTTGACGTCAACAGGAAATGCAGACAAGTCAATTCCTGTCCACAGCAGATGTACACACACACTGGAGGTTGCTTGATAGCAGTCAGTAATAGGAAATCTGTCTGCTTTTTTTTTCTTTTGTCTCCTTCCCGCCCAAGTCACTGCGCCCACTTGTATCTTCCCCGAGCCAGTTATCTACAGGCAAGGAAACCAATCTGCCATCATTTTAATCTTTTGTGATTTACTGAAGTGTGCTAAGCCATCATCTTTTTTTTTTTTAAATCCTCATTCTATATATTTTTCTATTCCATGTAATCTATCAAAATGTAGGTGTTAATGCCCATTACCATAAGGTCATAAGCTGTAGGAGTAGAATTAAACCATTCAGTCCATCGAGTCTGCTCCGCAATTTGATCTCACTCCCATTCTCCTGCCTCCTCTCCATAACCTTTGATCTCCTTAATTATGAAGAACCCATCTATCTCTTGTCTTAAGTACACTCAAATGACTTCGCCTCCACCGCCTCTGTGGCAATGACTTTCACAGATTAACCGCCCTGTGGCTGAAGAAATTCCTCCTCATCTCAGTCCTAAAGAGTTGACCCTTCATTCTGAAGCTGTGCCCTCAGATCCTAGTCTCTCCTGGTGGAAACATCTTCAAATCTACTTTCTCCAGGCCTTTCAGTATTAAGTTTCAAACAATCAACCCCCGCCAGCCACCATCCATCTAAACTCCATTGCGTACAGACCAGAGTCTACAACCACTCCAAATATGACAAGCCTTTCATTCTCGAGATCATTCCTGTCCACCTCCTCCTTACCCCCTCCAATGCCAGCACATCCTTAGATACAGGGCCCAAAACTGCTTACTGTATCCAAGATACGGTCTGACCAGAGACTTGTACAGCAGTACATCTTTGCTGTCATATTCCAGTACTGGTTATTGATGGAATATTGGTTTTGGAATAATCTCACCAAAATGCTTTAATGTTTTAAGCCAGTCCCCAGAGTATTAACCTGAAGATCCACTTGAATTCCCATTTACGTCTGCTCAACACTGCATCCTTTTTTCTTTTGTATATCCTCTTGACCAGCCTATGGTATGATAAGCATAGTCCTCATTTAGCCTCTTTGTTCGGACTGCTTACAGTAACTGAATATTGATTTGTATAAGCCATTGACTTTGCTTTGGCTTTTGTATAAATATATCTTAATTCCATCTTTATTCTTGCTATATCTTGATTCCTTCCTGACAATGAGAAGCATAGGACAAGTAAGTTGTTGGCCCTTTGAGCCTACATCACCTTCCATAAGATACTGGCTGATCTTGTTGTGCCATCAACTCTGCCTGCCTGTCTATCCTCTGTAGCCGTAACACCTAGCTGTTTGTCCACAAATAAAACTTCAAGGATTTTAAAAGAATTTGCCTCTGTCTTTTGTCAGTAACCTCAAACTACAGACTTGATTATAGCATAAAGCATTTTATAATCTGTAGAGAATTTAATCATATTTTAATTTTGTCAGATTGGATCTCTTATACCATTTTTACCTTCTATCCTGAATTCTATTATACAATGTATCCTTTAGGTAAAATTGCTATACTCCTAGATAACAGTAGGGCTTCTCTGTCTTAGAGAAGACTGGCAGTACTTTAACCTGAGGGTCACCGCAAATGAGGCTAGATCAAGACAGTGGGACCTTCATGGTGACCTCTGCCAGGGCAGGAATTGAACCCACAACATTGACAACACTCTGTGTCGCTAACCAGTCCCCTCCTTGGGGTCATGCTTTATGGAGCAAAGTTACCATATATTCTACTGAATTAGGTTTTGATTGAAGCATAGTGGAACATAGTGTAATTTGTTTTATTCTTTCATGGAACATGAGCATTGCTGGCATGGTTAGCATCTGTTGCCCATCCCTAATTGCCCTTGAATGGAGTGGCTTGCTGGGCCATTTCAGAGGGTTATCAAGAATCAAACACATTGCTGTGTATCTGGAGTTATATGCAGGCCAGATCAATTAAAGATGGTTAGTGAACCAGATGGGTTTTTACAATAACCAGTTCCAGTTGTTCTGGTAATCATTATTGACTTGAATTCAATTAATAATTGTGGAATATAAAATTCCTTATCTGCCGTGGTTGGTTTTGAACCCATGTTCCTGGACCATTAACCTGGGCCTCTGCATCACTACTCTAGTGACATAATCACATATCCCACCGCACCCACCCCCCGCCAACCCCCACTTACTTGAGTTTAGAAAATATTTGTCCTGAATTTGAGATGTTACTAATTGATATGTACAATTTACCTAAACCTTTTCACTTCCCTTGATTTTCCAGTACTGGATTAATGAATACACCTCATCATTAGGAATTGGAGTCTTCCATTCAGGCATTGAAGTATATGGCAGAGGTAAGGATTTAAAAAAAAAACTCTTATAATTTATACTGAATTATTTGCTTTTTTATTTGTACTAAAGTGTAGCTGATCAAATACTTATAAAATTATTTAGTCATGTGGTTGCCATTCATCTTGAGGTTTGTGGTGAGCATTGCATCATCTCGCCCCAGTTTACTGCAGTCCCTCCTTGCAGACATTTCATCTTGCATTACCTAATAGATTGTGGGACAATGATGGGTATTGATTACTACTTAATTGCTTTCATTGCTGCTTTGTAATGCCCTCCTGGTCCTGAGATTGTCTCTGCTTGCTAGTCTACTATTTTGCCTGTCTCCTTCCTGAGAAGGCAAAAAGATCCCAAAGGATATTGATATTTAAAACCAACACTTTAAATTGACAATTATCGTCGAAGCTCCGAGAACCTATCATTTTCAGTTGTTTCTGCAATCTTTTCTTTGCGAATTGTAGATTTTAGTTTAGTCTCATTCTGCGTTGTAGTGGAAAGATATTGTGATTGAGAACCTCAAGTGTAAGTAGCAGAGAAGCACAAATTGTCAAGAACTGGAACTGGAGTTACTTTACTCTTTGTCCTGCTGGTAAATGTCTAAAATTTCAACAAAGTAATTATTAGGTGTACTAAATTGTTTAGGCTGACTCTTTTCATCCATAACTATAAATTAAAACTAAATCCCTTAGTAAAGGCATTTTGTTTTCTGCAGAGTTTGCCTATGGTGGCCATCCTTATCCATTTTCAGGAATATTTGAGATCACTCCTGGAGACTCAACAGAGCTAGGGGACACATTCAAATTTAAGTAAGTAATACAGTCAAGAATTACTTTGAACTTTCAAAAGTATGAAAAATAATTATTAACATGATCCATTATTTATTAAGCATCTGATGTGCTCATTAGATAAAGCTGACTTGATGGACTCTTTGGGGGCAGGGAGTGGGGGAAATCACATGCAAAGCACGCCCAACATTTTGTGTATTAACAGCTGGGAAGTGCCATCTATTGCTGTGCAATTAACCTGCTGGGACAAATGCCATGGCTCTAATTTGTTTCTCCCCCACTAAAGGTGTATACTATGGCCATAACTAGTTGAATTGCAGGGGTTATTAAATTGAACATGCTCGAATATATAGCTGGAGGTGGGCTGTAATAGGATTTCAAGGTGAAGATTATCATGAATTCACACTGAAGCTAATGAAGCTTAACATGCTTAGGAGTAATAACTGTAGAATGTAGTGTTAGGATGTGCGCAAACTGGCAATGTTGCACATATCGCCAATCTCTGAGAAAGCTGTGCTTCTGGAACGAAGTGGTCCTTGTAATTGTGCTGATCCCATGATTGCATTATGTAAGAAGTTTCAGAACATTGTATCTAGATATTTTTTGTTAGATTAATGAATCAGTCCTATAAATTTATACCCAGCTCTGGAGAACATGTAAAAACTGTGTATGATATAAATTGTACTTCATAATTTGAACTCTTTATAAAATTATGAGAGGCACAGATAAGATGAAAGTACAAGATCTTTTACCCAGGGTTGGGGAGTCAAAAACCAGAGAGCATAGTTTTAAGATGAGAGGGGAAAGATCCAAAAGGGACCTAAGGGGCAACTATTTCACAGAGAGGGTGGTACATGTATTGATTGAGCTGCTAGAGGATGTGGTGGAGGCATTTAAAAGGCATCTGGATGAGTAGGAAAGGTTTAGAGAGATTTGGGCCAAATGCTGGCAAATGGGACTAGATTTATTTAGGATATCTGGTCAGTGTGAATGAGTTGAACCATGCTATACAAATCTGACTCTATAACTATGGTTAACTATGCTGAAATTCTGTGGTTTGTATCCATGCAGTCCAGAATGATTCTCAAATTACCACAAGTCCAGGATAATTACACAAATAACTCATGCAGGAATCAACAAAATATTTAAGACTATGTTCAGTTGAACTTCTGTTTTCCAGCATTTTGATTCTCATTTCCCTGTTTGGGTTTAATATTGAATAACAGCAAAGTAGTGAAAATTATTTCCATCTGCGTGGCCGCAAATTGATCCCTTTACATTTGATTGTGTTATTTTTATGGCGGGATTGACAGACATGTATTTAACATTTTGAATTATGTCAAAGAATAAAAGCAACTTTTTTTATAGTACTTGGTGAAATTGTGTATGTACTGAGCTAGAATTCGTTGTTTGCAAAATCATTTTTGCACGTGAACGGTTCGCTTTCTACCACAGCCACTTTTAAATCCGAGAAAATGAGCCTGTTTGAAGAACTGGATATATCTGATAACTTGGGAATCATTTGCAGAATTTAAACTAGTTGAAATCTCTAGATCAGTCAAATCACAATTTATTAAAATGAATAGAATGTTTTGGACAAGATTCGCATTCTTGTATGAGTTCACTTAACGTGTTTGTTCTCCATAGGGAAGCAATTGTGATGGGTAGCACTGATTTTACAGAAGATGACGTGGAGCGCATTGTGGAGGAGCTTGGAAAAGAATACAAGGGGAATGCCTATCATTTAATGCACAAAAATTGCAACCATTTTTCTTCAGCTATATCTGAGGCAAGTACATTGTAACTTACAGAACCATCCCACAAAGTTAATTTCATACCAGTTCTGTTTTAATTGACTGTTGCATGGGAATTCACATTATGGACAGCAAAATAACTTGGAATTTATTTTCCTAGCCCTTTCTTTTTACCCATGTCTCTTTCTCTCCAACACCACTTCTTTCACCCACACTTGCATAATTCTGATGTTGATAGTAATAGCCTTGCCCTGGAGTTTCTTTGTGTATCTCCTCCATGAAACAGCTAACGTAAAGACCTAAGAACCAATATCACAAAGACCTCAGAATTTTTTATTTGGCAAAGTTGGTCAGCCTTGAGAAAAATGATGGAGGTATATTTGTTTGCAACAATAGTATAATATTTTCTCAATGATAGGGCTAAAGAAAATGTTGAGGATCGTTCATGAGTAATATCTTGGTTCTAGAAAGAATTCTAGAAAACTAGAGAATTGCTGGGGGGGTAAAAAAAGACATGCTGTCGAAGCTTTTTGTCTTACACTCATCAGGATAATTTCCAATGGAGTAACAATGTATGTACATGATAAAATGGTGCTAATTGGTTAGGAAGTTGACTCTGGTTGAGGCATTGCCTACAGAGAACTTATTTTTGAAAATATTTTTTAAAAAGATTTTGTATGAACTTGAATGTTAATAAGTCCTTTTCTGTACCGTATATGTAGTACATTGTTTTTATGCGTTGCTTGTTTTCCTGTCAAACTTTATTTCTGTCCCAAAGTAATCAACTCAGTTCTTCAATATTGGTAAGATTGTGGATCATTTGGCAAGATTTCCTCCCCATCCCCTGAATCCACAATACAGCAGTGGTTACTTGATGGGGATTAGGAGCAGAGAAGTCTGGTCAATTTTGTAATTCCTAATACAACAATATTGAAACAATAAAATAAATTTACTCTATATTTTATTCAGTCATCTGGCAAGACAAGCATCTGTAGGCCAACAATGGCCACAAGTCACCTACTTTAATGGCTACAGTCATTGTGTAGGTCTCCCCACAATGCTCTTCAGGAGTGTGTTCCAGGATTTTGACCTTGTGCCCATAAAGAAATGATAAAATAGTTCCAAGTCAGGATGGCGTATGGCTTGGAGAACTTGCGGGTGGTGTGTTTCCACTGCCTTTTGTCCTTATCCTTCTCGGTGGTTTGATTTCTAAATGTTGTCAAGGGTGCATTAGTGAGCTGCTAAAATGCTGCTTGTCTGTAATGCACACTGCTGCCCCTGTGCCTCAGCAGTGGAGGATGTGAATGTTGAAGATGGTTGAAGAGGTGGCAATCAAATGGACTGTTTTTTTTAATGCTGATGAGCTTTGTTCAGTATTATTGAAGTTGCCCTCCACTAGATAAAGCGAGAGCATTCTCTTAGATTTCCAAGTGGTAGCTTGTAGAAGGTGAACAGGCTTGGAGTCACAAAGTGAGTTAATTGCACCAAGATTTCTAAACCTTCAATTGCACTTGTCACCACAGTATTTATGTGATTATTCTGGTTCAGTTTCTAGTCAATGGTAACTCCTTGGACGCTGATAGTAAGGGGCTTAGTTATGATAATGCCACTGAATGTCATGGGGTGATAGTTGAATTCTGTCTCGTTTAGAGATGTTTGTTGCCTGGTGCTTGTAAATTATGATAACCCAGAGTCCTGAAGAAGTCATGTTAGACTTTAAATGTTGTGACTCTATTTCTGTCTTTAAAGTAATAGATTCTCTTTCATCCAACAGTGTAACAGCTTCTTAAATCTTCTATAGTTATGTATAGGAATTTAGTAAAGGCCACACAACTATAAGCAAAAATTAAACTTGGCAACAAGTATGACAGTACAAATAACTTTTGGACAGGGCCTACCTCATCTGCACAGTTTTTTCCAACAAAGATGACAGATCTTTAACCCTTCAGCAAGAATGGACAAGTCCCCTAGAAATTACATGTACATTACCCTGGTGTTTTACAATTCTACCTGAGGAAGAGTCATGTAAGAGCTCGTAAGGGCCTGGGATGTTTTTTAATGTTAACAGTGCTGAATAAAGACTACCTGTTAGGTCGGCTAACTCAATAATGGCACACAAGCCTGGGACCTTTTTTGGCTTACTCTCTGCAATAATTTGGCATTAATGGTTTCAATGTTGTATTGATATACATGCAAAGTGCAGAGGCTTTTATTGCTTTCTTGACAACAGGAAAAACTTCAATACATTCTGCAAACGAGTAAATGAAGTTTGGTTTTGTTTGTGTCAAGTAAATCAGAAAGGTGGCTTGTATTTGACACTCTCAATCCACATCTTCTCATTAATTATTGGTAGGTCGCATCATGTATTATGATCAGTTATATGTACAAAATGGAATTCTGTTGGTGCTGCTTTCACTCAGCAACGAAGAACCACTTTTAAAACAAAATGGCATCGTGAGACAACACATTGACATTCCAATGCACAGTGTGCCAAAAGGAATAAATTTCATATGCAGCAAGCTTCCAATCTCTCTTGTCCTGCTGATGTCTTGTTTATAGTGAAGACAAACAATGGATGAGTCTTCCACAGTCGTGTTTGTCTATCGCCTAATGATTAGTCAAAGAGTAGCATTGGCTACTGCCAACAAGACAATCACATACTTGGCAGAGGATAGTATGTGGTGTATTCAAACCTGAAATGTAGCTGATAGGTTGAAATGCAGATAATGTTTGCATCAATGTTTCTTATTTGAAAGAAGTTGGCAGAACTGCAGCAGGTTCATGTTTGGGAGGCCCTGGAGTTGTAAATGGGTGTTTGGTAAATCCAAAAAGAAGCTAAGTAATATTTTTGGCTGCACTTGCTTTGTGTCTTTTAGATCTTTGGCAGCAGTTTCTGTTTGTGGTAGTATTGTAAAACACCAGGGTAATGTACATGTAATTCCTAGGGGACTTGTCCATTCTTGCTGAAGGGTTAAAGATCCGTCATCTTTGTTGGAAAAAATTGTGCAGATGAGCTAGGCCCTGTCCAGAAGTTATTTGTACTGTCATATTTATTGCCAGGTTTTATTTTTGCTTATAGTTTTGTGGTCTTTATTAAAATCCAATACGTACCTATAGAAGATTTAAGAAGCTGTTACGCTGTTGGATGAAAGAGAATCTGTTACTTTAAAGGCACCAGCATACTGTTGAGAAGAGAAATGTTTTGGAAATGATTTAGTGTTAAAACTGACAACAACATAAGTATATGGGTATCAGTTCCAGTTGTTATACCGACAGTAAATAAATACATACATTTTAATTAATTGATTTTTTTTTAAAACCACTTTTGCCTAGAAGAATGGGCTGAAGGGAAAATTAATGTTTGATTATGCTGAAACTGATTTTAACTATTTTTACTGTCTTGCTACTTGCGGAGTAAAGGAAAAGGGTGGTTTCTTTTCCCCCTCAAAATCAAGGTAGGTTGTCAAGGCTAATAATGCAGAACATCAACAAGGTTAAAAGAGAAATCAGGGCGGGGATTATTGATTTGGAAGCCCAAACCTTGAGTTTTAACAACTTGAGATTTCACAATAAATATTTCTCTTAATTTCATTGTCACAAGGCATTCCACTGAACTGACATCCCTAATTTTGCAAGGCAGATTATGCTTTTACTTGAACAAGTTTAACAATGTCTCATTAAAGGAATTCTAGCATGAGCCAAAGGGGGAGTGGGGGAGGTTGGAAGGAAAATATATAATAATAGCTGAATAATCTTGCCGCTGTTCTGTCACAATCCTTTGCAACTACTCAAACATGCTATTTTGTAATGTGGTAAGAAAGACAGGAATTTAAATGATTTTCATTCAAAGGCAGTGTGGCTTCTTGGCAGTTTCTGCCTCTTTGATCTTATTTCTTGATGCAGTTCTTGTAAGACAAGAATGAACTCATCTGCCTTTAGTGAGGTCATGCTTTGGATAATAAGATGATCTTTCCTTTGCTGCACTGCTTGAAGATCTTCTTTGAAGGCATTGTAAGACTTCTAAATAATCACCGATCTAGATGCCAGTTTTCATCAAAACACCTACAAAACCTTTGATAAATCAATAAGTACTTTAAGCTGTACAAACAATTTTCCTTCCGTTCTCCGTTTAATGACATGTTCTAAATGTTCTATCTGATTTCCAAAACACCAAACTAGAACAATTAACTGTGAAGATATGTCATAAACCATTTTTTTAAAAATCATTTTTAAGTATTGAGTGCTACTGATGGCCATGTGGCTGGCTAAAAATGTTAGTATTCATTCTGGCCAATTTCCCTACATGCTGAATAACCTTTAAAGGCACTGTAAACAATCCGTTAATGTTGCACTGATCTGTGAAGATCCAACATTTAAAAAATAGACAAATTAAATAGGTGTTACTTGCCACCACACAACTTGTTACATACTTTCTCACAGGGTATATTTAAATCAAGGTTCTCTCTCAAAGCGGGGTTGTTGCTGTCGAGTCTATTTTTTTGTTGATCTTCCTAACTGAACTTGAGAAAATGGTATCATCTTGAATGGCTGCAGCCTGTGTAGTTGAGGCACATCTAAAATACAGTTGGACAGGGAATTCCTGGCAAAAATGGTGGAACAGTGGTTATTTGTTCAAGTTGGGATGGCATTGCCCATTAGAAAGAAAAATGAACAATTGGCATCGCAGTTTAATTTATGGCGATGTAAAAGGTTGACACCATTAAATGTTAAAACTACAAACAGCTGTTATGTGCAAACCTTACATAAAAGATTGATTTTTGACTCATGGACTTAATCAATCTTTAAGTGGCAAGGCACAGCAGTTAGCCCTGTCATTTTTGGCTTCAGACTGTGGCTACAATTCAACTATTATGTAGTCTCAAAACTCTTGGGAGACATCCCAGGAATGAAAAAAAAAGGAATGATAGTCTGTGAAGTAAACAACTGGAAATCTGAAATACAAAAAGAAAATACTGGAAGCGGTCAGTAGTTTAAGTAGACTGAAATTTGGTTAAGGTTTCAGCTCTTGCATTGA